TCTCACTCAAGGGAGTAGGACAGCAGCGTTTCCCAGGTGACGACACTGACGTCACACAGCCAACATGCTGTAGAAGGCCGAGTTTAGCTTTTGCCATTCCTTCCCCAGTCAGTGCAAACTCCAGTCCGTGTGCTGAAGCAGCATTAGAATATGAGGGTATTTCAGGGCTGGGCTGTCCCACCACGATCCTGCCTGAATACCCTTATTTTGTACTCAAACTTGTAGGAATAAGGGTTACCAGTCACATCTTGCTCATCAGTGCCCTAGGCAGCTGGCAAGCAGACTCACTTCCTCAAGGTCACTGACAGGCCTCAGCCCTGGGCCAGCACAGTTAGTGGGTGTGCCCGGCTGGGTCCCTGCACTCTTGCTGCTGTACCGGGATGGTAAAAGTAGAGCAGGACCTGGAGACAGGCCTGCCTCAAGAGGTCAGAAGGGGTGACTGGTCAATTCCCCTGGCTCTCCAAGGAGCAGGGGGAGCATGGCTGGTCAAGACAGTGCAGGATGGGGGTGTAGGGAGCAGCACGGAAAGAAGCTGCCTGCTGCTTCCTTAGAGATAGGGAGGCAGATCAGGTGAAGAAGACAAAGCCCGTGAGGTGGAAGCTGTGCTTATCTGACTTGTATTGACTATCTTAGAGCCTACTTGGCATGAACACAGCCACGAACAAAGGACGACTTGTATGTGCACTGGACTTGCTGGCGGATAGGTGTGTAAGTCACACATTTCTAGTTAGAGTGTTTCACTTCACAGATAACTGTGGGACTCCCTCAAGGTCAGACTGCTGGTTACTATCAGACACGCATGAGCTCTGAAATCTGCTCAAGCCTGACTTAAAACCATACAAGTGGGCGCACCATGGCCCAGTAGGCTGGGTGCACCCCCGATGTGCCAGTAACTTTTGGGAGAAGCCCCTCAGAAGGCAGAGCAGTCTTGAAGAAGGTTCCTTGTTGGTCATCAGAATGCCCATTCTATCCCACTTGCTGAATGTGGATACTCCAGCAGTGGTATTCTGAGTTAAACAAATCAGAGCATGGAAATCAGAAGCCACAGTACTTTAAGCTTCTGGGCTGGCATTGACTATGCGACCTTGGGACCAATGAGGACCCTAACGTTCACAAAGGATAAACAGCATCACACCTATCTTAATGATGGAGATAAGAGATAGCATACCATGGAGACTGGGTGGGGGCTTTTGTTTTTGGTCTTCTGTGACCTAAAACAACCTTCCTAATGGACTAACAGTGCTGAGATAATTCACATATCTTTACAAGTAAGAGTACAGTTTAATGGCTTTTAGGAACAATCAGGTAATCACTACCTTCTTACTCCAGACCCTGCCTAGTTTTCCCTAATTTTCCTCCCATCTACTTGAGACACACAAATTCATCCTGCACAGCTCAGCTCAAAACGGACTCCTTTAACATTCTGTCTCCTTGCTTAAGCACTTCCACCTTATTATGATTTTGGATGTATCCCGCCCTTCCCCCCACTGTGAACAAGACAGGAATAGTAACTACTAACATTTACAAAGCACTTTACAGTGTATGAACTGCTTTCTCAATGGGTTCTTTCTTTTGACCTTCCCATCTGACACTGCGCCCAGAACACTCACTTTATATTTATGGAATTAATTTGGGTTCTTTTAGTGACCTGCGGAAGGGACAGTAGCAGATAAAGAACACAAGCTAAAGCTTCTCTTGAACCTCTCAATTGCACACTTGCATAAGAGCTTTTATTTTCCCCATTTAAGCTTTGCTGCCAAAGCAAATGTTCTGAACAGAACAAGAGGCACAGTCCACAGTTGATCACTGCCATCTCCCAGAACCCAACTGACTGCCACTAACCTCTAAATCCCTCTCCAGAACCTATTTGGAGGTCCAAAGACTCAGTATTTAAAAAAAAATCACAGGTCTAGAGTGCTGCTTGCTCATTACTGGAGAGAATAAAACACTGCCTCAGTAAGCCTGGCCGCTCAATTCCAAAATGCTCCCCTGCCTTTTCACATGCACACTGGCAAGAAGGCAGAGTTAGGAACCCAAATTTATACAAGAGGAAACTAGGGTTCCAGAAGTTAACTGGCTTGCCCAAAACCACTCGCAGGGAAGAGACCAAATCAAGATCCACAATGAGGTCTTTGAACTCTGAAGTCTCTTCCCAGGCAGCAAATGCTTCTGCAGGCCTTTAAACACACCGAGAACTTCAGAGGATGGCCGTTCTAGTTGCAAAACAGGACAACAGTGCCCGGCTGGTGCCGCATGGTAACTGAGCCTGGGAAACTGGGTGACGGAGGTCCTGATGGCAAGTCATGTGACCTGGCTGGACTCCTGGCACCTTCCACAGGGCTCCGGGAAAAGGGCGATGTGGGCTCAGGTGACCCACTCCAGGCTTCTATGCATGGAGCATGCCATGCTGGAAATCCTGCGAGAGGGCAGCACGAGAAAAGCTGACCCTGGACAGAGCGCTCACTCTGTCTTCCTGACCAGAGGGATTCTTTGTTCTGAATGACATAACTAACACTGACACAAAGACCTATTCAGCAGGTCCTCCTCTCTCTGCCTACTCATTGGAATATAAACTACTGGGTAGCGTAGTGGTTAAAGTCCTCACTGTGCACGCAGCAGGATTCCATATGGGCACCGGTTCTAATCCCGGTGGCCCCTCTTCCCATCCAGTTCCCTGCTTGTGGCCTGGGAAAGCAGTTGAGGATGGCCCAATGCTTTGGGACCCTGCACCCACATGGGAGACCTGGAGGAAGTTCCTGGTTCCTGGCTTCGGACTGGTACAGCACCTGCCGTTGCAATCACCTGGATAGTGAATCATCAGATGGAAGATCTTTCTGTCTCTCCTCCTCTGTATATCTGACTTTCTGACGAAAATAAATAAATCTTAAATAAAAGCTTGTATTTTTATATATACATACTACTGTTTCCCCCTTTGGTTACCGGGTTGGGACATTTGACCATCACACCGGTCTGGGCTGGGAGAGATGCGGAGGCCGACGCTCAGCTCTCCACCCAGAGGTCCAGCTGTTCCTGACCTCTTTGGAGAGAGGTACTAGCAAGGATGAATTCCCACTTGGTTCTCACTATATTGTTCTCCTCAGGAACAAGGTTAATAAAATTACAGCCAGGAGACATCCACACTATTCCTCTGAACTGCCTCTGTGATTTGGAGGACCCACAAGCAGTCTATTAATGTTATTTCAGCATCTGCATATATCAAAAGAAAAAATCTGGGCCAGCGCAATGGCTCAATTGGTTAATCCTCCCCCTTCAAGCATTAACATCCAATATGAGCACTGGTTTGTGTCCCAACTGCTCTACTCCACCCAGCTCCCTACTTGTGGCCTGGGAAAACAGTCGAGGACGGTCCAAAGCCTTGGGACCCTGCACCTGCATGGGAGACCTGGAAGAAGTTCCTGGCTTCAGATTGGCTCAGCTCCACGGCTGTTTGGGGAGTGAGCCAGTGAAAGGAAGATCTTATTGTCTTTCCACTCTGTAAAATCTGCCTTTCCAATAAAAATAAACCTTAAAAAGAAAAATCTCCCCCAAATATACTTCAGACAGTTTGAAATCCCATGACAGAACTTGATCAGTGATGAGATTAAAGCTGGGTTCACAGCTGTCCTGGGTCCAGGTTCTGAAAGCAGACACCATCCCCCCATCTGCTTGGCTCCAGGACTCCCAGGCAGACAACGGGGAGTCCATGCGGAGAGCAGCAGGCGGCGTTCAGCTGCCATCTCAGCAAGGGCTCCCAGGAGTCCCCCCAGTCGCTCCCAACTAACCTCTGACCCGCCTTCCGTGACCAGGGAGAGGAACCCACTGGCTGGCTGGAAGGACTGCAGGGGGAAGCCACAGCTACTCAGGACTGCTGGTTGGTTGCGAGCGGATCCACAACCCGGGGAAACACACAGGTGCATTTCCTCAAAAGGAACCTATTTGCGACTTTGTGAACTTTGGAACTACCGCAATATCTCTCCGTTAATAATGCCAGTAACTCTAGGAGATTCCTCTATAGGAGAAACAGACTGCCTGCACAGACTGAAAACATTAGAGCCAGTGAGGGGTGTACCCCAAAATGCTCCCCATCTCCGCCCTCCCCGTCGATCAGGTACCCTGGGTTCATTCCCAGACTAGCCGTGTGCCTAGTCAACCCCCACAGCTGGGACACACACACACCCTAGTCCCTTCTTGAAAATGCACAGCAGTTTAAAAAACACATTTTTCTAGCCCAGGGACGCCGAGAAGACCAGTGCACTGCACGCCTCTGATTCACTACCCTGACACTCACCTAAACGTGGGAATGAGCAGGCACGGGACCCCCAATCCTCCGCCTCCTCCTCTTGCCTCGCCTCCCTCCGCGCAGTTTGAGAAAACTGCGGACACCCCAAAGCGGGGACGCTGGTGGGGCGCTCAGACCGGGGGCTCCCCAGGCTGGCGTGCACAGGCCATCCCATCCTGGGGCGCGCTGATCCCGACGTGGGGACATGCAGCCGCTGCTCCCGCCGGGACAGGCCAGAAAGTGAAGTAGCCGCCGCCCTCTGGAAGGCGGGACCGTGAAGAGGACTTGGGGCTGTCCCCTCCCGGCACCGGAATGATTCTGCTTTTCTCCCCTCTTTCCGTCCCCTTCCATCCCCATCCTCGGGTCAGGAAAAGCGACCGACTCAGTGGCCGGGGCTTCTCAACGAATTCCGTATCAGGAGCTCGCGTGTCACTTAGAAATTAAAGGGTTGCTGGTGGTAGTGGTGTAAAGTCCCTCTGCCCGCCCCGATCCCACATCCTAAATCCAGCGATTAGCTGCCGACCGCCGAGAGGATCTCCACAAGGTCCCACGGGACGCCGCGCCGCCGCCCCCTCGCCCCAGAAGCCGGAGACGCCTCGTGAGCCCGGGGAGCTCCTCCCGCAGCCCGGGTCGCCCGGGGCAGCCGGCCCCGACACAGGGCCTCCGGAGCCCACCGGCCGGCCCCGCTCCGCCCTCTCACGGTGCACCGGGGGCCGCTCACCAGCGCTGGGCACAGCAGCAGCAGCAGCAACAGCAGCAGCAGCGGCAGCGGCGGGCCGCGCGCGCTCAGGGGGCCGCCGCGCGGGGCTGCGGGCATGGTCGCGCACTCCTCGGCTCGCGGGGCTCGGCTCGAAGGCGACTGTCGCTCCCGTTGCCGGGGCTCGACTTCTAGAAGCGGCGCGCGACCACGGACGGAGCAGGCGCGGGAGCCGGTGGAGGCGCTGCGCGCGCAGGTCAGGAAGGACGCGGTGGCTCCGCCTCCGGGGGCGTGGCGCGGCGCGAGGGGCGGGGCGGGCGAGGGGCGGGGCGGGCGAGGGGCGGGGCGGGCGAGGGGCGGGGCTCCTCCCTGGGGACCCGCGGGCACGTGGCTGGGGGCAGAGGTGTCCCTGGCCCCGGCGCTCGCTCACCTGCACGCCGGGCTCGCGGTGCCGACGCGCGGTGGCCTGACCGCGAGGGGCGGAGCGCGGGGCGGTGTCCCTCGGAGGCCCGGCCCCGGTGGACCGCCCCTGGCGTTCCGCTCTGTGAGACGCGCCCGGACCGCGACACCTGGTGGCCGCGCCGCGCCTCGCCGCCGACTCTCCTGCAAAGTTGGCATCGGGAGGTGTCCGGTGAGCGCGCGTGGACTTCTCACAGAAGGCCAGACGCGCAGAGATGAGGCAGAGGCGCGTGCACTTACATACTGCAATTATAATTTTTCTTTTTAACTATTTGCGTTTTTGGTAGCATCTACCTTCAAATGGCATGTGCATCACTCAAAAGCTACAGTCATTTTCATTTTGCAGTTAAAATACAGAGAAGGCTTTCTTTTTCAACGGTGGAGACCGACTTAACATTGAAAAAGAGACTGTCCGTTTGCAACAGTGGTTCAGCCCAGCCGCATATGGGGCAGCCAAGGAGGAGAACTTCCAGGTCCTAGCGTGCGTCACTGTCTGCCTTGTCACTTCGGCAGCCCTGAGATGACCCTGTGGCTGGACCAGCACCGAGAATACAACCATTCCCTCTGCGGGGTCAACCTTAGAGATCTCCCATGCTCGCCTGCTGGCCGCCATTCACCAAACCAGCGAGCAGGCATCTCTAGCAGTGCCTTAAAGCCTGGGAACTGTTTTTAACATAGACGGGCATCTTTTCAAAGAGACATGCTTTTGAGAGACAAATTGAAGGAGTCTTGAAAATTTTCATGAAAAAAAAAATGTAGATATTGAAAAAACTCGAAATGGGTTTAAAAAATGTGCTTGGCCCCTGCAATAGCCTGGTGGCTAAATCCTCACCGTGCATTCACTGGGATCGCACACGGGCTCTCATTTTGACTGCTGCACTTCCCATCCAGCTCCCTGCTAGTGGCCTGGGAAAGCAGTGGAGGACGGCCCCAGGCCTTGGGACCCTGCACCTGCTTGGGAGATCCAGAAGAGGCTCCTGGTTTGGGATCTGCTCAGCTCCAGCTGTTGCAGCCACATGGGAAGTGAGGCAGCAGGTGGAAGATCTATGTTTCCTCTCTGCAAATCTGCCTTTCCAATAGAAATAAATAAATCTTTAGAAAAATACTTCTGTGTTCAATTTATTTTTTTCATTTCGATTTCCATGGGCTAAAGTGATGGAAAATGTGAATATAATACTGCACTTTTAAAAAATATTTATTTATTTTTATTGCAGTCAGATATATAGAGAGAGGAGGAAAGACAGAGAGGAAGATCTTCTGTCTGCTGATTCACTCTCCAATTGGCTGAAACAGCCAAAGCTGAGCTGATCCAAAGCCAGGAGCCAGGAGCTTCTTCCGGGTCTCCCACACAGGTGCAGGGTCCCAAAGCTTTGGGCCATCCTCGACTGCTTTTCCAGGCCACAAGCAGGGAACTGGATGGGAAGCGGGGCTGCCAGGATTAGAACTGGTGCCCATATGGGATCGTGGCACATGCAAGGTGAACTCCTTGGCTGCTACCATGCTGGGCCCCAGTATCTGCTCTTTTAAAAAAAAGATTTATTTATTTTTGTTTGAACGGCAGAGTGACAGAGATGACTTCCATCTGTTGGTTCATTCCTCAGGTTGTTGCAATGGCTGGAGCAGGGCCAATCCAAAGCCAGGAGCCAGGAGCTTCTTCTGGGTTTCTCATGTGGGTGTAAGGACTGAAGCACTTGCTTTTCCAGTCTGTTACCAGGGAACTGGACCAGAAGTGGAGCATGCAGGACTTGAACCAGCTGCTGTATAGGCTTACAGACTGAGGGCTAACTTAACACACCATGGTGCCGGCCACAGCATACACTTTTAAAGCTAGTGGGGCTCCTGCTGTACATTTTTCATCCTGCTTTCTCTAGATTTTAGCAATGTGCTCTTTGACCTCCCCAATTCTGATAGCTGTGTAGGATTTCATGATGTGTGGGTAACAGTTTTGAACCTGGATTCTGGCAGACTAGTCTCAGAAGGGTATCTGGATCAGTTAAATACGGGTTACTGGCAATGAGTATTTCAAAGGAACTCAATTTCCCTGTGAGGGGTGCAGGTGTTCCTGGTAACACCACCTGGGAATTCCTTTCCGTCTTCTTCCTCGTTCCTGAGTTTATCTGGATTCCCCCAGGGCTGTCTCAATGCTGCATGGCAAAAATCTAAAAACTCTTGTATGGTCCCCTGTGGGAGGGGGAGGGGATAGTGGATAAGAGATAAGACAGAGGACAGAACAAGTCAATCAACCACCTCAGCCATATGTTGGCAGTGAAAAACTGGGCAAACAGAGACTCTAAGATGGACTATGTCAATCAGTGGATTCTTCAACGACTTCATTGTACTTAGAGTGGCGAGATTGGCAGCAATTCATAACTGTTGAACTATCAAAACCACTTGAGCAGGACCCTCGGAGCATGCCCCACATCAGGGACCTGGGGTGTGTGGGAGACTGGGTGGGGCTTCTCCTTTAATATCCCCCTTTACCCCAAATACATGAAGGAAACAATATAGAAATAATAGTCTTACCCACTTTTCTGTAGCTCTTGAACCTTTTAAACTATGTAACGATTATCAAAGCTATAATAAAAAAATAAATAAATGTGTTTTTATGACACCAGAAATGAATGTCATAACCATGACACATTTCTTTTTTTCAAATAAAATCCTTTACCTAAAAAAAAAGAGAGAGATAAAATTCTCTTCAGCTGCAAGAAGGAAGAGGAAACCTGCAGGTACTCGAGTTAATGGTTTTTTCTTTTAAAAACCCATTACATATTGCATTTTAGTTCATATATTTTTTAAGATGATTAATTTGTATGTCAGGATTACAGAGAGGGACAGACACACTGAGAGCTTTTCCATCCATTGGTTCACTTCCCAAAAGGCCGCAAAGGCCAGTGCTGGGCCATCTTTTGTTGCTTTTTCCAGGTCATTAAGGATGTCAGTGATACAGGCATTGGCTTAGCTTGCGGTGCCATGACACTAGCCTCCTATAGTTGATGTCTTAGTTGACATTTAGTTGGTCACTTGTTATTGAAAACAGTGATATAATGAATACCCTGTTGCCTGTGTCTTTATTATTTACAGATAGAGCTGTTGGAATTTTTTCTGTTATGGGGGTCACAAGAAAAAATGCATTTAAATCTTGGTGAATGTTGAATTTCTTTTCCTGCAATTTACATGTTTCTCAGCAATGGAGGTTGCCTGATCTCGTTCCTCCCTCCTACCTCCCATGCTGATAATTGAAAAACGGCATCTCTGATTTCATTTCTTAGAGAATATTGGGTCATTATACATCGTATGCATGTATTCAAATAGCACATTGTGTCCCATGACCATGTCAAAGTATTATGTGTCAGAATCAAAATATATTTTAAAAATTGGGGTGCTCTAATGTTTATTTCTTTAATTATATGTAGAATTTATTTTTTATATTCACATGTGACTTTATATCCTCTTCCATTGGGTTGCTTTCAATTTTCTATTGGGTTGCTTTAATTTTCATCTTGATTTGTAAAAACTGTGACAAAAGATGACTTGTTGATTTAGCATATATGCTGGAGATAAACCAGGTTACTAGTTTTGCAGGGTTATAAAATATCATTCCACATTTTCCTGCAAAATCTTGATGAGTTCCAGGCAGGCCACGTGGAGTGACTAATTAAAGCACTACTCAGGGACACCCACACGCCTTATCGGAGGGCCAGTTTGAGTGTGGGCTTCTCTGCTTCCGATCCAGATTCCTGCCAACACATTGTGGTGTAGTGCCAGATTTTGATATCCCCAGAAAATCATCAAGTCTGAAGTTGGCACTAAGGCATAAAGGTGGTTTATTCAGGTTAGCCTAGGTCTCCCAGCCACCTTCCCCAGCCCTGGGCGGGGGAGGGGCAGCCGCAGCTGAGGCTGCTGCAGAATCAGCAGGGAGGGCAAAAGAGGAGGAGAGAGGCCCCCGCCCCTCGCTGAACAGCACAGGGTTCTTACAGATTTTAGGCTATTAATTATTCAGTCATGATTTAGCAGGCTTCTATTGGTGGGTTTGAAGGAAGCAACTTTCAAAAGGTACAAGTTGATGGGCATAGGGCAGTGAATCTTATCAAACACCAGGTACTTCCTTCCTGAGGAGCAGTCTGCCTATATGACCTGCCAGGTGTCCTGCCGGGTGTCACGTATACTATCAGGCCTGGGTTTCATGCAGCCCTCAGCCAAGCCATTAAGGCAGAAGTCACAAAAGCAGAAAACACCTAGGTTCTTCAGTGGGAAGCAAGGGGCAATCAAGTGCCTTGTGTGCTTGAGTCCAGCGCCAACCGAGCTTGGAACTCGAGAAGGGTGCATGGAATAGGTGTAAAGAGAAAAGAAATGGACCACTTCATCATCATAATGAACAATGCAAGAAAGCTGTCCCTTTATTTATACAGAAGCCCTCACAACTCTTGCATAGACTTTTCACATCTGGTCAAGTGGGCATTCCTAAGGATAATTCTGCCAATTGTTTCACCTTAAGGCAGGATATCAACCGTCCTAATCCCGTGGTCAGGAAGTTTTAAATAGACCAATCAATCAGTAACACATTCCTACTGCAATCCTCATTCCACAACTTAATCTTGAATCAGTTAAGGGAGGAAATGCATCCCAGAAAGAGGGACCTTAAGATCAAGGAAAGGATACATCCAGGGACTTAGCACCCTTGATTAGCATAG